ATATATTATATATATATAAAATAAAAGTATTGTCATTTTATCGATAAGTTAAAAATGTTCTTAATTTCTTCTATCATTTTAAATTTTATTTTTCTCTTTTTTTTCTTTATCTTTTTCCAGGTTATATTAAGAAACATTTTGGGACACCTTGTATATACACGTATGTATATTCACGTGGGAGTTTCATGAGATTCGTGACATTGTTGTAGAAGAGAAGACATTTGCCGGTATTGCAAAAAGTTGATCGTTCGATCGTTCATCTTTTTCACTCTCTCTCTCTCTCTCTCTCTCTCTCTCTCTCTCTTTCTCTCTTTCATTTTCTTTTTCCTACGATTATAGTCATTGCCATCTCGTGTTAAGAAAAAAGGAGCACCGATAAAAAACATTAAGCGAGAAGACGATGAAGAAGGTGCGGAGAGATGCTGCATAATCGAGAGAGTAAGAAATAGTGACTAACAGTGTGTGTGTATGTGTGTGTGAAAGAGAGAGAGAGAAAGAAGATTCTGCGGTTTTCTCGATGATCGTTGCTGTAAGAGCCACGATACTAAACAAACGATAAAGAACAAGTATAATTACGGTTATTTAAAGAGACGAGGAATCAAATGAAATTGACATAATTTATCGACGACGAAGTATCATCAAATTTCTCTCTCTCTCTCTCTCTCTCTGTATATATATGTATATATGTATATCTGTTATAAGTTAATCTTATTTTTATTTGATTTTTTTTAAATAATTTATTTGATGATTTCACTGATCACATTTCTTTTTTTGTTTGTTAAATTTTCTATATCTTCTTGTTCTTTATTTTTTTTTTTTTTTTATTATTCCTTCACTTTCTTTCTTGCTTTACATCTAACCAGTGTTAATCTACATTGATTTTTTTTTAATGAAATTTGTCGTCTTTTTAAACGTATTTTGTTAAGATTTCACCGGACTCTCATATTTATTTATTTGCTACATGTTGAAATTTTCTATTTCTCAATAATCTTTTTCTTTTTTTTTTTTGTATTTTCTCATATTGTTTTTAATCCCCGTAGAGAAATTTATGATAAATTATTAAACTATGATGAAAACACTTTGAGATTACAAGTTATTCTCATGTATTAATGACGTTTACTTATACACGTATTATGCATGTATATGTGTTTGTGTATTTACAAGATGGTATGAAATCGTTCGATCGATCGAACGATTCGATGTGCAACATCCGCAGGTGGTCCAATCGAAGTTATCGACAAAGATATCGATTAAACTTTTATCGGAAACATGAAATCGTCGAGTTACACGTTAATTCATATATCATACTTATAACCCATGAGAAATCATCATTATGATGCGTATGATTATTATTATTTATTACAAATAAATATAGATTTTTTTTTAATGATATTAAAATATTTATATATGTCGCGGTAATTTTTTTTTCTAAAGAAAAAAAAATATTTTTTTTCATTATGATCGAACAATTTTTATTTAAAATAAAATTTTTCTTTGAAATAAAGTACAAAAATAAAATAAAAAAAAGCAATAACGGATAAAGGGGTGGTAAGAGACAAACAAGAAAATCTTCTTTTCGTTAAAACAAACAAACGCGAATTATAAAACAACAAACAAATTATATTTTTTTTTGTAATGATAATCCACATAAGAAACAATACATTTGAATTGTTCTATGATCGATTATTATTAACCACGATGAAAGAAGAATGAAAAATAAACTAGAGAAAAAGGATTAAAACAAAACAACAAGTTATTAATCAAAAATATAGAAGAAAATAGTTCTCTTCTCGTCTGATCGTGAATTTCATTCTTCCCCCTTCACCCCCTTTCCCCGTATCCTTTTCGGCTCGTTTCGTTATCGACGTACAAATTGCAGTCTCGATTCAAGGTGAGAAATTTATCGACGATATCGAAATTACGAGAACGTAACTTGGTAACTTGTTTCTCTCTCTCTCTCTCTTTCTTTCATTCTCTTTCTCTTCATCTTTCTCCATTCGAATCCTTTTCATCTTTTCTTCCATTTCTTTCTCTTGTTTATTTTCGTGTTTTTTGTATTCTCTCTTTTTTCTTCATTTTGTTTTTTATTTTTTTTTTTTATTATGTCTTGTCTTCCCTTCATTTCACCAAGAAGAGAACTGCACGTCAGTTGCTTGCTTGTTTGCTTGCTTGCTTCTTCTTCATCACGGTTGCGGCAATACAGCAAAGAAGTAAAATCGTTACGGACCAACGATACTTGCTCGATTAGTATGCGAATACGCGTTGTACGTTTGCATGTAAACAGAAGTAAATAAATTAAGTCTCTATCCTTTTCTCTCTCTCTCTTTCTCTCGTTTTCTTTCTTTCTCTTTTTATCTTCATTTTATATCGCATTTTCTTTTGCTAAAGATATAAACGTTTGGATGACGAGATAGTAAGAGTTAATATGAATGTAAAAGAGAAAGAAAAGAAGGAGAGAGAGAGAGAGAGATGAGTGATATAAAAATAAAAATTACTGATAAAGAATACACTGTTCAATAATTTGTGATCTTTCGACGTGTGATTTTTCTGACATTATTTCATTTGAATTATATTTATATGCACATACGTATATATATATTATCACATATATGTTATATTTATTTTACGATATTATATTGATTTTAAGTATTTCATTATTTTTCATTTACATAAGTGTACATGACGTTTTTGTGTTATCGAAAATATCTTCATTAATATAACGAGAAATTTTACAAATGTAAAGAAGAAACTTAATATCCATGTATAGAAAGAGATGAATATGATATTATATACATATATATAATGAATGATGATATATTTATTAATGATTATGATATTAAATCATAATTGTTTGATAATTATCCATGCATTAAATTATTTATTGACAATGATATCACATTTCTAAATTCAAATAATATATTTATTTTTATTTAATAAAATAGTAGAATAGTAGTAATAGTAGCAGTGGTGGTTTATTGATGACCTTTCAATATTAAAAAATGTACGATATTCCTATTACAGATCTACATTTGAGAACGAAATGAAAAAAGAAAAAAAACAATAAATAAATAAATAAAATGATAAAAATTCAACCATATAGAGAAAATATTTTCAATACCGCTTGATTTTGTTAACTGTCTGTCACAAAAATAAATTAAAAAAAAAAGAAAAAAAAATTAGAAACAAGAGAATAAAGTAAGTAAAAGTTTTTAAAGGTTTGAAAGAATCGACTTTGTTCGGATTCCACAATGTAGAAGCAAGACTTGTTCGTAAGATCCGTCGAAGCGTGTCTCCTGTTCGCTCGTTCAAATCACCGTACACCACCACCTCTCTGATATTCGAGAATAGTTAAGGAATATTATGAGTTTCATGCGGCAAGAAAAAAAGAAAGAAAGAAAGAAAGAAAAAATAAGAAACAACGGAAACGGGACGACAACAACGACACATCGATGATCATAATTGAAAAACTTTTAGCTTCCGATGGTAATAATATTGAAATGTAAATTGGAATCGATGTTAATAATTAATGATCATGAGTTCAAATACATCGTGAATTAAAGCGTAGGAGAGTCACATTTCTCGAGGATTAATAACGAGGCAGGTAACTTTACCAGCTTCAGAAACGTGTTTGCCTTGTCCGAAAGGTGAAACGTTATCGACTCTTGTGTTAATTAAACGTTCATTCGGTAAGGTATATACGATTTACTTTTTTCTTATTTCTTCTTTTTTTTTTTGCCTTCCACGATCATTGTCAAATTTCAGTAACGCTTATATATATGCTTAATTAACGAAAAAATTATATATATATAATGTGATATATTATATGTGACGTTAATTATCCCAGTGAATAAAGTAACAAATATTCAAATGTAATATTATATTTGACGATTAATATTTCATATTGAAATTATTTATATTATTATTCAAATAATGTCTTTTTTGTTCCTCGAATTTTCGAAATTATGTCAACTATCGTTATTACGATAAATTGTATAGTTTAGATATTTTTTTGTATAGACACACATACATCCGTAAGAATGATATAATCCGAACGAGGGATGTGATTTTACGTATAAAAATAAATCGTAAATGACATGTGTAACAAATTACTGCTGTGTCTCAATAAAATCACATTGTTTGTATCTCTCACTCGTGTATAATGTAATAATGAAGAATAATTTCATATACAATTCTTTAATTAGAATCAGGAAACTGTTAAATACGATACTACGAGGAAAAATTATCATCACCAGTTATATATATATCTGTTGCAGTTAATTTTACATCATCGATGTTTACCGATATGATGTAAATAAAAAAATAAGAAGAAATAAAAAACACCACTACATAGGAAAAGAAAAAAAAAAAATGGCGAATCTAAACATAGTTAATCGAAACGGAACAAGATATCAAGAGGAAGTCGTCATGGGCAAAACAAAGCGATAATATGTTAAAAAGCTAAACGTAAGTGTATATATATATATATATATTATAGTAACGTGCCGTTATGTAGGTGCATCGTGTACCGTTATCAAGGACAATTATGTGTAGACCGATAGATATATATCTGAAATGAAACGATCGTTCTTGAGAAGAGTTTGACTCTCCCTCTCTCTTTCTCCCCCATCCCCCCTCTCCCACCCTTCTCTTTTTCCCTCTCTCTCTCTCTCTTTCTATTTCTTTTCTAACTCTTTCTAACAACGACCTTCCTCATCTAAGCTCGCGAAACGTCCTATTCGTCGTCTTTGTCGTCATCTTCGTTTTCTTCATCTTCTTCTTCTTCTTCTATCGTTGTAGTAGTGTTTATACCAAGTATAGGTACCAAGAAGCGTGTAATTTTCTCTCCCTTCTTCTTCTTCTTCTTCTTCTTCTTCTTCTTCTTCTTCTCTGTTAATTCAATGGTTACTCGCAAAGAGATTTCGCTCAACTCGATTCAACTAAGCTCAGTTCAGCTTAACTCAGCTTGGTTCGGTTCCATTCGGTTCTATTCGGCTTGGCTTGGCTTGGCTTGGCTTGGGCTTAGCTCAACCTAGCATGATCATGGGGCTGAACAAATGCGAATGAGATCTACTCGTTTCATCTCGATCTCGGTTAGGCTCTTTCTCGAGTTTCTTGCGGAACAATCGGCTTTTTTCATCCGATTCTTGATTCTTAAGAATCTTAACTCGCAATATTACAAATATAATATGTTTATGTATGCATGTTTATATATATATATATGTATATGTATGTACGTGTATATCCATCGAGCTTAGAAATCATCCTAACCGCGAGTTTCAATGTATATTTTAAAACAGTAATAACGATCAAGAGAGTTATCTGGTACAAAGTTCGTGTTTCGATTTTATGTATGTATATATATATATATATATATATATATCTATCTATCTGAGAATAGTAAAAGAGAAATAAATAAAGAGAGAGAAAGAGAGAGAGAAGGAAATATTAACTCGAAGAAGTTATTTATTTGCCTTACTAGATGTAAACTACAAAGATGATCTCCAAACTGAGATTGCGTTAAAGTGGAACTTCCTTCGTTCGTTCATTCGTTCGTGACGATCCAATCGGCAAATCGGATATCTATTCTCGTAATTCATTCGTAAATGGTTGATACATACTACCGAATAAATGTATTTCGAATGTTACGACGATCCATTACTAACAACGAATCTATATGTAATTTTTCACGTGATATTTCTCACTGTATAGTTTAATTTTTTATTTTTTTGCTTTGTAATAAATAATTTCTTTTCGCGTGTGATAAATGTAATATGAAGTTTGCAATTGGAAAACAATAAAAAAAAAATATATATATATATATATATATTGTTAAGTTGTTTCACATTCGAAATAGAAATCGTTGGAATAGATTATAGATAAGAATAGATTTGAGAATAATGACAATGTAATGTTGAGGTCATGGGGCATCATTGTAACTACGATCGGTACAACGTTATTCAGCGAAATATCATCTTCCATGATATTAAATTAAATGTGTATATTAAGTTTATTGTTATTATTAGTAGTAGTAGGATTAAGTGTTAACTAGAAATTGCAATATATTATATATAACAGGATAATAGGTTTTCTTTTTATTCGTTTATAATATATTTCATATATAAAGTAAAATATTTACAAAAATTATACTATTGTACAAAATTCATATTTTTATGTCTATGTGAGAATATATATTAATATTATTATTAATTAGAAATGATTTATATACTTTGCAATATAATTCGACAAAATACATTACTCTTTAGTTTATTATATATTTAATATTAATATATAAAGCAAAATATATATATTGATGTCTTATCTGGATAATACGAAGAAACTTTTTCCCCTAGCTTAATATTTCTATTCTACATTTTGTTTTTATTCGTTACCAATTAGAAATTGCAATGCAATAGACGGCTACATGTTTTTTTTTGTATAGTAGATATTTAATATATATAAAAAAAAATATATTTAATATATTTATATAT